TCTACACTGCACATTAGAGATAAATACGAAGCAGAACTCAAAATAGAAATATGAGCAGATGACTGGCACAGTGTATGTAAGGTACAGCAAACAAGCAGCAGCTCCAGGCTAGAGAAGGAATTACGTTGGAAAAATATTGTCAGATTTTTCATTAGTCCTAAGAGTAGAGAGTAGATATTCATCTACACAACTGTCACGCTGGAGGATGTGTGGTGAGAAAAATGTAGATCACACTCATGTATTCCGGGAATGTTTGAAAATGAGAAAATCTTAGGATGATTCATGGGCAGAATTGACAATGATATTAGGCTATGTATTACCCAGGACCCGTGTGGTGCTATATTTAGGGAATGTGATGCATAATAATGTACAGTAGGAGCAGGATACCTTGTAAAAGGTCTCCGAACAGCAAACACGAAGGCAAGCGTAAAGAAATGGTGCAGGGACTGAGAGATTTCGTAATATCAAAAGGCTTTGGTGTGTTTTGAGAATTCTACAGTAGATCCATCCATCCATCCATCCATTATCTATACACCTCTTAATCCTCACTAGGGCCACAGGGGGGCTGGAGTCTATCCCAGCTGACTCAGGGTGAAGGCAGGGGACAGTCCATCACAGGGCTACACTTGGAGACAGACAACCAATCACACTCACATCTTGCTGCGAGGCAACGATACGAACCACTGAGCCACCTTGCAGCCTTCTACAGTAAGAGAAGTAATGAAAAAGACAAATTGCATCAGGAAGTTGTGAACCTCACTGACACTAGTTTTCATGTAGATCTCTAGTAATGCTATGAAAAGCAAACGAAGAAGGAGATAAATGAAATGAATGAAAATAAATGATATTAAAGAGGTACTCCAGTGGTTTGACACTGCACTTCTACAGTGTTGGGAGACTTGTGCATTGCATTTTTAGCAACTCAAGGACTTATTTTGTCAAATCCTCTCAGATTAACATCTTTTAAAGTCCATTCTGCCCAGTTTTCTGTCATAGCTTACTTCCTACCCACCTACTAGTCTGGAGTAAGCATGTAAACATACTCTAGTCCAATTATGAAACTTCAACGATGACCATTTTGGGGGACTAGAAAGTCTCACCAATGAGTCCACAAACCAGGATTGTGGAACTAGCAAAACTGCTGGCATTTAGTCTTTCTATTATTCTTTCTTCTATTGTTCCTGCGATATCAACATATCTTTCATGACAACGGATTCCTCAACACGAGCATTAATATGACATCTGCACAGATCTCCTGAAGTGAACAGAGATCACAGTCCGAGAATCATCAATAGCCAATGAAAACTGAAGAGAACTGGAGAGGCCAGCAACCGCACTTTGTCTGTATGACTCCATTTTATTTTTTTATTGCTGTGATGGTGTGAGATCATAAAAACTGAAATCAGAGAAGTAGCTAGAGTCAGCAGCAGTTCTGTATTGGGAGCAAATTGACAAGCGAGAGAGAGTCTTTGTGTTTGATGCGCCGTGTTTTATACATCACTTCAGATTTTAAAGCCCCTCAAGAATTTTCCCAGCACAACTTTTTTTTTTTCTTGCGAGTCTGCCTCCCCGCTATCTTTCTCCATGTTTGACTCCCCTCTCCCCTCCCTCACCAACACCTCACCCCTCCATATCATCCCCTCACCATTTTAAAGCCTGTCCTTGTCTGCGCACACTTGCTCCTTCTTAAAACCAGGAGGTGTAAAGTTGATTTACTCCTGTTGTTCCTCAGCAGGTCTTTCTTGGCTGGGACTGTGTGTGTGTGTGTGTGTGTGAGTGTAAGACTGTATGTGTGAGTGAGAGGAGACAAAAAAGGTCTGAAGGCAGTGTGTCTGGAGTAAAGTGAGCATATTTGTGTGTGTGTGTGTGCATGTGACAAAGATCTCAGTATAAATAAAGAGATGAAGTAGACAATGTCCAGTTAGGCATGACTGCTCTGCTGGCTTGACACCGTTGCGGGTTTGTGTGTGTGTGTGTGTGTGTGTGTAGATGGATGGGGGGACGTTAAGGCATGAGCGCACTGCTAGCTTGTCACCATCAAGGGTGTGTGTGCATGTGTGTCTGTGTGTGGTGAGGGATGAATGCACTGCTGACTTGTCAGAGTTGAGGATTTTCCCTGCAGCAACTTTGTCTCGTTTACAAAGTGGTGTTGTAAGTTGCTCTGGATAACAGCATCAGCTAAATGCCAAAGATACAAATGCAAAAGTACACAGAGCTGTGTAAGCATAAGCACGCAGCACAGTGTTGCCGGCTCGATCTTATGACACTTGTTCATACACAAGAGATTTATGGCTCGATCTGTCAGAAATGCAACACTGAATTTTCTCAGAAGGACATTAACCCTCTGAACTCCGAAACTCGCTGGCCGGTTTCGAAAGGCATTTTATTCTCTAAAAAGTCGCCAGAATTACTAGTCAGAGACAGAAACCGCAAAGGCAGAAAGAATTGCAGATTTTCAACTCGCTAACAGTCCTTGAGCTGCTCGATGAAAAACAAAAACCAAATCTGCTCTTAAAAATGTGATATTTAATCTAAACCATTTTATTCTACATGTTTCATTTAAAAAATCACCAAAAATAAACATATGATCATCCATCCATCCATTATCTATACACCGCTTAATCCTCACTAGGGTCGCGGGGGGGGGCTGGAGTCTATCCCAGTCGACTTAGGGTGAAGGCAAAGGACACCCTGGACAGGTCACCAGTCTATCACAGGGCTACACTTAGAGACAGACAACCAAGCACACTCACATTCACACCTACGGACAATTTAGAATCACCAATTAACCTCAACATGTTTTTGGACTGTGTGGGAGGAAGCCGGAGAACCCGGAGAGAACCCACGCTGCACGGGGAGAACATGCAAACTCCACGCAGAAAGATTCCGGTGCCCCCACCGGGACGCGAACCAGTGACCTTCTTGCTGCGAGGCAACAGTGCTTATGATCAACCAGATTCTTTAAAATAAATCTTGTGCGCTTCTCAGTGCAGCAATGAAGTAATTAGTAACTCAATAACCACCAACTGTACTGTGACATAAAATCGGGAACTGGGTTAAACTGCAGGCTGTCTGCATATAAGCTAAAAATGTAAGTCGTAACATTTCCACACCATTCTAGAGTCACCTTTTCTTCCAGTAATGCCAACACCTGTGGTTTTATCTTCTTTTTTTCAATATTGTAGAATGATTAAAAGTAATTTCATTTAGGAAAAATTATGGCATTATAAGTTTATTACGCTGCAAAAAAAAGTATTTCTCTCCACGTCTAGCCATGACTGTGCTGTTTCAATGGAGTAAAAATGTGACAGCAGCAGAAAATGTTATCTCAAAAGACAAAACAGGACCATTTTAAGACAATTAAAAAAAGTTCCTCATTTGTACGGGTACAATAAAATCTTTCTTTATGAAGTTCATCACTCTACAGGACACATTATGTACTAAAAACCCATTAAAATACCAGCGCTCTTGTTTCAAATGGCGCCATAAAGCACCATAGGAGACAGAGCGCTTGGTTGTCGAGCACCCGTCCTGTGGAATAATCTTCCTATCTTAAGTGAACCAACTATCAAACCATCTAAATACCATCCTATGGTTAAGAAATCTCACACACGACCCACCAGTCAACTTGTCCCTCAACCTCTATTTTTTCTCTCCGTGTCAAGTGACATTTCCGTGTAATGATATGTTCACACACTGAGATATGCATGAGAAGCTTTTTGTTTGTCTGTGACCACTCTGTATACTAATCTGTCTCGGTTCTATGCCACATCGTAGGACCTTTGCTTACTCACCATAACCTATAATTACGTATCAGTCAGCTCTGTCCACTCTCGTTGTCTCCTCTCTCCTCCTCCTACTCCAGTATATACCCACTGTGGGCTGCAGGCACTCTATCTAATCCACTTGCGACAAGCCGCTGCTGGCTATTCCAACCGAACCGTTATGCACAATCTCTTCCCTGTTTATGATACATCTCATATACATACTGTGTGCCAGGCCACCGAATGGTAATATAAACAACAATTATCATTGACATCGTTTTCTGCCTCATTGCTCTGCTTATCCTCATAACAGTAACCTCATGAGCACTCTGTATACCCACTAAGCTGGAGTACAATTAATTCTTTGAATGCTACCTCCTCTCCATTTTATCCATCTTGCATGCATCCTGCACCATCTGTATGCATAATGTCATCTTGTATATATATCGTGTAAATATGCTGCATGTATGCTAATGAGTTATTCTGATGCGAGTTCATCTGCCTCCTTCTGAGACAAGCATCTTGAGACAATTCCAGTCGTTATCGGCGCGATATAAATAAAATTGAATAAATTGCATGTGAAAACATACAACACACGGAACAAAAGTGCCTATTTTTCGAGGCCACGTGGATAATTTTAGCCTCTGGTCTCATTACTTAGCTGCATTTTAAAACTGACTAAATAAATGTTTCATACTGTTATCTGAACTGAAGCCTTCATGCTGACGTGCTGCACCTTGCTTGAAAGCTCCGAGATTTGAAAAGGCAAATATCCGCGGTGACACAGTCTAGCAATATGAGTAAAGTTGGATGATTTCCCCTAAGTTTCTAATCCATTTGCACACTGCCAAGAGAATTTAATTTCACTGGATTTCAAGGGGCTGACAAATAATGTGAAATATTACTAAAGTGAGGGGGGATACGCTGGAGTAGCATCAGCTCTTTGTGGTCTTGAAATTCTGAACAGTTAGATATTGATATGCATAAACCGGCAGACAGGGGCACAATTGTAAGGATGAGTCCTGTGGGACCAGGCCTGACTGTTAACCCTCATCCAAACAGTGAAGAGCGCCAAAAACTCTTTCACGTCGCAGAAGTGCAAACTCGAGCTGCACGTACGCCGACATTCCCCGCTGAAGGTGAGTGAGTAATGCACAAATAGAAAGATGCCCTCTGCACCATATGCACAAATCTAATACAATATATAATATGAGCACATAAGAGGCACACACTTACCGGCTCTGTCAGCTCCAGCACATTAGCCCTGTACGTGATGGGACTACAGTCACGGGTGTTTCCTACGAGCGTACACGGCAGAAACATGGGACCCAAGTCATCTCCGTCCAGCACGTCCACGGTGAGCGTAGTGGTGGCTGTGCGGCGCTCGCTCGGGTACGGAGCTCGATCCTAGACAGAGAGAGAGCTTTTATTGTACATTTGGCTGACACTGCACACTCTTATTTGGATATTTGAAAAGGCTCCTCTTTGTGCCTTGAACAGAAAGTGACCACAACCTTGTTACAGTTTCAGAAAGTCAAACGGACAGACTGTAAGGGAACTCTTTAAAAGGTCCATTTGAATATGTACCTCATTCGTCTCCATTTACACCTCATCAAGAGCGAAGCGATGATGATGAGAAACTCCACTAATACACTGCAATGGACTCCATTATATATCTTTTAAACTGGCAGGAGCCAAGAAAAACAGACACAGATCGAATAAATTCAAATGAAAGTATAAAGTTTGAAGAAGAACTTGGAAAGCGTAGCATTAGCAGCGCTCCCACTCCCATCTGTCGCTGTTCGAGTGTCCAGAATAATGTAAGAAACATTAATCATTAGCAAACAACTTTTAACCCCTTTCAGGTGTTGCAGGCTTGCAGGGCATTAACAGGTATTAAATAGATGATAATGAACCTTTTTTTCTTGTCTATAACTGCAATACGTGACCTAAAAAGTCAAACAAATACGTCAACAGCCTGGTCTTGGTTATGTGATTTAATTTAAAAAACAAACAGCCAAACAAAATTATTTGATTTTAAAGATTTTCTGTGTAAGTCACAAAAATTGATATGAATGTGACTCTTTGTACATTTCCATTTTTAAAGAAGTTTTCTCACCTGTTGATTACATTCTCCCACCATCACGGCAAAACATAGACCTGCTGTGTTCCTTTTTCTAATCTTTCTCATCTTACATATTTTCTTGTTTCTATGCATCTTATCCATATGTAGAAGAAACCGTTCTTTAACTTTTCACTTCATCTTATTAAAAGCAACTTTTCTTGTTATAATGTGATATGTTGCTCTAACAAGAAACGTCTCCACGGTGGTGAAAGTGTGGATTGCTTTTGTTTTCTATATGGAATACCCTCAGGTACAACCACACATTTCAGTCACAGAAGTAAAACCATTGTTTTCTCTTAAAGCTAATTAACCAGCAGTGTTTGGAAGTATTTTTATTCCGTCCTGATGGTCAGCAGAGACTTTGAGGATTGTGAAAATATTGTCAGAACAGTGAAATTCCTTAATAACCTTCTGACATCGCCAGTTAATTATCTTGAAACTGAAGCCAGTTTTGCTTTGACCCGAAACCGCCGACAGTGCAAAGGTCGACTTTCTTCTTTACGCCACTCTGCCCTCATTTTCCAAACTGTCAGTGTTAAATATCCATAATAGCGTGAACTGTAAACTCTGTTTATTCGAGTGGTCATTAATTAATTTCATTTGCATTGCTCTTATTCGTATTGTTGGCAAACAGAACTCTTGATCTCAGTAACACGCTGTAATAAAAGTGTTTGTATTGTGTAGACCTTGATTTAAGAACAAAAATGTGCACAGAGTCATTTCATCTGAATACACCTGGACATGGGTATTGTGTAACAGTCTACGGCTTTAGAAAACAAAACTAAACCAAAATGTATGACCTTGTTACATACAAAATGGATGTCCTCACACACTATTAGGCTTTACTCAGAAGAAGACCTTCAATAGACCTCAAGCTGAAATAGCTGGGCTTCATAAAATATCAATTTAACTACTTCATAAGAAGCACAGAGTCCTGGTCAGATGCTGCAAGTAAAGCTTCTCCCAAACTTTTGTTTCTCCTTCGGCCATGTGCCATCATTTTTTAAATCCAGTGCTGCTGTCTACTTGTTGATCTGCTCGTGGTGAAGCATCCGCCGTCCAATTACAAAGCGAGCTGCTCAGCAAATTCACAGGAAACAGTTAACGGGCCTATTCATCTGAAAGGTCGATATAACTGCTGTGTTTTCAGTTTTCTTTTTATTTAAAGATAATTAAGATATACAACAACCACTTTTTATTTTGTAAAGTTCTCCAAACAAAATAGCCAAATCAGGGAAACTACCCGAAGCTCAAACTCTCCACAGCTGAATAATCAATGTAACCATCACATATCCACCCTTTACCTGCTTCACTGTGGAGGAAGAAAACCCTCTACAGATAATATCTGCTATTTCAAGCTTGTGCAAGTCATCTCAGTGCGTGTGTTTCTGCATATGGGGTAGTGCTTGTTTCTGTTCGGATTAAAGAGACTTCTGCCACTCCTGTAAGGTCCCACAAACTTTAACATTTGCCAAAAAAGATAAGAAGAACAACACCTTAATTAAGTTTTGCTGGAGTGTTGTTTTACTATAATTCAATTACACCTGGGAGACGCTCATATGGCGATATCACATCACTGCATTACATTCTGCTGTCGGTCACCTGACAGTAAAATAAAGACACGGAGGTCCTGGCCTGGAAATAATCTCTTGAAAACATACTACCGCACTCGTTTTATTGCAGTATGTTTTTGTAGGGCATCTTTCATGACTATGCAGGACAGCAGTTAATCCCAAGCAACGACTCACACCATAAATAATCTAATTATATGCCACACGCTCTGCGGTATAACAGGGGGTGAAATGTAGACGAGAAAGTGAAAGTCTTCAGAGTAAAGCATTCAGACTCGGCCCACACAACAGATGTGTACTTATTTCATCAACAAAAACTACCTTATCACTTTTTGGTTTGACTTTAGTTTGACATTTCGGCATTTACTGTTGAATGCTGAGCGGCAGATAAAAAGGTAAGCACTACTTTCATTGCTGTACAATGCAAAGCTACAACCAGGACACAGCTAGCGTTGCTTAGCACAAAGACTGGAGGAGAGTTAATTAGTGTTAGTTACTGAGAAATAGTGCATAGATTTTATTACCTTTGGACAGAATTACGAGGTGTGGCAGAAAAGTTTCAGGACTGGTGTCATAAAAGATGTATTTCAAATCCAAACTACAAACTACAAGCTTTCCCCGTCGAAGTAATCCCCCTGGAGTCTAACACACGCCGTCATGCACTCCTGGAAGGATTCTTCCAGGATCCTCCACAGCTCCGTCGTCACAGCCGTCTTGATGTCATCCACGTCTTCTAAACGGGTCCCCTTGATGACTCCCTTGAGCTTGGGGGAGAGGAAACAATCCCACGGAGCCAGGTGGGGTGAGTAGGGAGGTTGCTCCAGCACGGAGATGTTCTTCTCAGCCAGGAACTGTGGGATGCTCAGGGCATCGTGAGCAGGTTGTCATGGTGAAGCAGCCACGACTTGTCCTGCCACAACTCTCGCCTCTTCACTGAATGAAGGAAACGCCACAGGATCTTTTTGTGGATGTGCTGGTTGATTGTCTGAAGGGGAAAACTCATAGTTTGTAGTTTGGGTTTGAAATATATCTTTTGTGACACCAGTCCTGGAACTTCTGTGACGCACCTCGTATGATACCAGCACTTCCCCTTCACTTCCAGGCTGAATCAGGTCATCCAGCTGCTGGTTGTAGCTTTGTGTTTATCACACACACATAAGATTGTCATTGAGCTTCTCTTTCAAATCTCAGACTGAAAACTAATGTTTCCAAGAATGTTGAGGTGTTTGTTTCATTTCTATTTGTATGCACTTGCATCTATAGCTGTGAAACAGAGGGCACCGGAGGAAGAGCTTGATAGCAAATGTTGTCATTTAAATAAATTATTCAGACAAGGTCAGAAGTTTACGCGGCTCAATCAATCCCTGCTTTTATGTTTTCCTCCTGTAACACTGGAGCTGAAAAGGTCAGCCTTATTTCAAGCGTTTTTTGGGGTTTTCTTTTACACTGGTTGCACATGGTCTGTAAGCCAAACTCCTTGGTAAGAATAAATATTCAGCAAATTCACAGCCACTCAAACACTCTTAATATTGTATTCAGATGAACAGTGAATATGTCAGCCTTTCAAGCAGCCAGAAACACATTAATCTTTCAGTGTACTGTTGACTTTTAATAATGCTTTTAGGGGAAATGGGCCTTGAGACATATGAATATTTGGCAGAATCCTTTGTAGAGAAGTAAAGCTTTTGTAAGCAAGGTTTTCCTGTCAAAACAAAAAACCCTTAATGGCGCAATTGGCAACGCAAACAATTTTCTGTCATGCTTCAGTTTAGATCCTTCAAACTTTACTACCGTTCCCCATGAGTGTGCTTTGCCCATTGAGGGAAATTAAGTATATTATAAACCACTTTTATAAATAAAACATACAGAGTGCTGGGAAATAGAAGGAAAACAATTACATTTAAAAAAAATAAAGAACATTAGTGATAATTAAGGATGCTCTTACGGATCCCTTAAGGCTGACCCAACACGGCAGATACAGTCAGAAAGGCAGTGGGACATTAAAGTTACCACGATGATAAAAAATCTACATAAACATAACGACACTCTGGGTTGTGGACTACATTCCCATTCAGTCAGGAGAGGGTTTATTTTCTGCAGCCATCCTTTATAGCAGATCTGAGAAGAAAAGCCTCCCTTTCCAAAATTGCTGCACTGAGAGGCGCATGAATACAAAAGCGCGAATATAAAACAAGCCACTTACATTTGCTTGTATGATGACCAGGTATCGTGTTATCTCCTCGTAGTTGAGTCTTTCTCTGAGAACCACGGAGCCAAACAGCGTCAGAGGGATGTCAAAGGTTCGGTTGGCTGTCTGAAACACATACGGACACATTACGAACTCAAACACAGTCCGATACATCCACAGCCGACAGTTCATTCTTCACATTTTTACAGTTTAGACTAGTCGAGACTTGCAGTGGACGTGCAATAGCTCTAGAAGCTACAGCAGTGAAAGTGTAGAATTGATTGTAAGATTTCTAAACTCTGGTAGGTTACAATTGATAGAGAAGTTCAATAACTGGTGGATTGACGAGCGAGGTAGAACAAAAGAAATGCACTCAAATAACACAAACAGAAGTGAAAGAGAGCTGAAATTCAAAATAACAGATTACTATGTGTTTCACAATACAATGAAAGTCTTCTGGTGGCATTAAAACGCTCTCAGAGACTGAGAGATTAGAGAAAGTGTGTTGTATCTGATCTCCAGAAGAAAGTAAATTATGCAAATGTTGCTAATAATTAACCAATCCCTGATCAATAAAGGCCTAGTCTGTCTGTTCCTGAGGTCAGTTATAATTTATGCAAAAAGAATCTCAAACCATTCATAGGCTTTGGAGCATTTCTGCGGAGAAACTGAAGCTAAGGAATGATGATGATGTTATGAGGTCAGTTTTTCTGATTAGAGTCAAAGTCCTAATCAACAGCATAGCCTGTTTCTACTACTACTAATGGAATATTGGCTCCAAATGCGGCTATGATCTCAGTTTTAAGCAATAAATGTGGAAATAGAAGTGCTACTGTGTGAATTTTGGTTGATTTTTGCTCAGTTCTTGGCCTCTTTTCCGAAACTAAATTCTGGTTTACTGTCATAGCTTTGGTGTTGAACTACTAGCCGACATAATGAGTTCATATGCCGACTAGATGAAGCTTGACAGAGATCAACATGGTGGATGGAGAACCTACTGGGTCTTTGGGGTTGTACTGGACGGTGTACTCTATCTGTCCGTTGGGTCCGTCATCGATGTCTGTTGCTCCATTGTTCCCAGAGAAACCAGAGAAGATGGTAGTTCCGACCGGCGTCAGCTAAAAAAGAAGACACACACACGACAGAGAACTTCAGCGTCTCTGTCTGCAATCTCTCAGCACATGATGTCAAACACTTTCAAACTCACTGTACCGCTGACATTAAACAGCTTCTATCCTGTACCGCCAGCCTCGTCTCCCTGACAGCGCCACGCAAACATCTACCGTGTGACAGAGATGAAGGCAGCACGCATTAAAAAGTGAACACGCATCTGGCTATAAGGGATCTCGATGCCCCACTGTCTCCGCCAAACAAACAAAAAATGACTTGCAGTTTTAGCTTTATTGTTCTCAGATGGGGCTTGAGGAGGAAGATGAGCTGGCAGCTGGTTGTGTGCTTTCAGTTACGCTGGAAATAAATGAAACACAGGCAGCGCAGTTTAACACAATGTTCTGTCTGTTCGGAGTCAGTCTTTGTCACTAGTGGGAATATTTGCTGCAACTCATCATCCCATCTAAACAAAAAAGAAGAATTTAAAAAAGAAAAAAGGGAGGAAATCGGGTGATCCAAATGCTCACAGTTACAAAATAATGAGTCAGTGTCAAAGCAGATTACAGCAATGACCAAAGAGACGTAGGCAGTAGTCAGAGTTTATTACACCTACACTTATCACAGTATGCAATTAATAAAAATGAATAATTTAATAGAATATGCTGCAGTGTGTTGGGGAACTTCCTCATTCATTGTTGCTTTAAGTACCTTACTTTGGCTTTAAAATGCATGACAACAATAAGAATTGGCTTCTGTGTGTACATTTTGAGCGATAAAGTCACTCCAGAGGCAACACGCTTAGCAGCCAACTTTTGCAGCGGGCGTATGAACGGCATGCCAGCCATACAAGCAGCTTTCAAATTAATATTCTACCTTTCACAAGGTCCATGCCAATTGTTGCTCACCAATGTTCTGTTTAGGTTAAAACTAATCAAACATATGGCTACAGGAGGGATGTTTGTGTCGTTTTTATTTGTCAGCATCATTACTGTAACAGCTGAATTGCAGCTAAACAATGGTGCAGTAACTATAAAGTAATGGTCGGTGGTGATGGGTTCTTCACATTATTTTGAGAGGCGGGTGGCCAATGGCTAACACATGATGGTGATGTCATGTTGTTTGTTAGTTTTTAGCAGCTACTGCATGTTGCTGTGTAGCCACATATGAATGGATCCCCGGTAATGATTAGGGGAAGAGTTATGTGAGTGTAAAGCTGTATGTGATCTAACAGTTACACTTCCCATCCTGCAACCATCCCAAATGACTAATCTTATAACCCTTGAGAGTCGAGGTGGAGGCTGTGGAGACACATATACAACCGTTTTTCAAGTCCTGTATCCCAGTTTAGCTGAAGGTTTGCTACGTGACAGTTCCCAACTAACGCAACATTTCACACCAAAAACACGAAATTAATCAAATTGAACAGACAGTTAACATATAGAATAGAATAGAATAGAATAGAATAGAATATACTTTATTTATCCCAGACGTGGGAAATTATTGTAAACAGCAGCATCTAAAAACAGAGAAGAAAGTACAAGAAAATAACAATAGTTAAGTAATATGCATCCTGGTGTCCGCACACAGCAGGTCCAAGGCTCCACCGTCTCTGGTTGGACAGTCCACATACTGGTTGAATGTGGGGAGAGTGATAGAGAGCCATGTATGATTAAAGTCTCCTGAGATGACCATCAGAGACTGAGGGTGTGATGTTTGCAGCTGGGACACTGAACTATGGATGAGCTCACAGGCTGCAGCAGCACAACATATGTCATTAAGAGTGGACAATTAAATGTTATTGAGCTTTTATTTGGTGCGCCTAGCCAGCCCTAGATGACACCAAGCTTACTTCAAAGCTGTGCAGAGACTATTTGACCAAGAAAAAGGAATCTGGATCAGAAGGACCGGTCAAGTCAAAGTCCAGATCTGAATCCTATTTAACACATTTGGGATGTAACACATTCAGAGACTGATCACACAAAAGTTTCATCCGAATCAAGTCTGTGGGAACACCTAGAAACTATCTGGAACTCAACAACAAAAGAGGCTGTCGAAAACGACATAAAAACAATCCCAGCAAGAACACGAGCTGCTATCAAGGCCAAAGGAGGCCACACAAAATAATAAAGTGTTGTGGTTATTATGCGTGAAAAAGGACTGTTTAGTGGCTTCAGTTTGTTATTTGCCAGATAAATAACTGAAGCACTTTTAGTTGTTGACAAGTTTTTGAAAGATTTTTAAAATATTTGTGTTTTCTTGTTTTTATGACAGCTGGTGTAATAAATGTGTTCAGCACTGCACTGATCTGCACAGTTCTTCAGCAAACCAGTGTTCCACAAGTTCTACAAGCTGATCATTATTATAACCCATATTGATTTTAGGTTAATAATACCAATACAAACCAACAATTTAATGTAATTTCCCAAGTTTTTACATTTGAAAAGGTGGGAGAAAATACATGAACAATCAGAACCAATATAACATGGAAAGCCGCCCATATGTATGTGTGGTATGTACAGTATAGGATACCTACTGTACATGACATATAAATAAACTGTAGCTTAAATAGAATAACTTGTGATTTACGAGCCAAGGGAAGCAGTTCTGATTCCATTTTTGATTTAATTTCCCTCTCCCTGCTCTTGCAGAACAAGATAACTCACTTTCCAGCAGAGAAAGGAGAAGCTAGATATTCACAAAGATATTCAGTTTGATTTGAATTTTTCTGAGCGAAATTCTTAACATGAGAGCTGAACACTTGCCACAGCACATGAAAGGCGAGAAGTTTGCCAACGATAAATTGCCGTGCTATATTTTTCCAGCCATGTGCCTAGGGATCTGTGATTAGGTGTCAAAACAGAAGTCTAATCTCCAGACAGCACGAGAAACATTTGAGATTAAGTTTAATTTAGCTGCGGCACCAATGATTTGTTACATCATTTCCCTCAACAGGGTTATCTCTGCCTCCCACAGATCCAACAATGGTCTTCAGAACGTCTCATGCTGTCACTTTGCCCACTTTTGGATACAGCTCTAATGAAACAACTCCAGACTTGGGCACCGGCACCAACTCATGAAATCAGCCACAGGGATCACCTTGTACTGAGAAACTTTCACAGTGAGCTCATAAATTGTGTCCTAGACATTCTTATAAGTAACCATAGTGTCTCTGTGTGCGTCTTCTGTCTGCCTCGTACTCTTGAAGTCAATATTTTTTAGTAACGGACGACTAAAAGCAGGTTACATTATACCAGCTTTTAGTGCAGATGCAGCTGGATGAACTCTTCTCGATATTAAATTTAGTGCATTAGAGTGGTTGGAGTTCTGGGGGCAATAGAAGTGAATTAGACAATAGCTGTCCGCCTAATGAGCAGACTTGCACTCAAACCTGAATAAATCTGGCCCTGCTTTTGAATTATTGCCTGCATATGAATAAATGTATTCATTTTTTAAAAATTATCACCGCCAAACTGACTGAGTTTACCTTGGCCTGGCACAGGAGTCGTATTTTTTACGATGCATCTCCTAAATGGTACGGTGGTCACTGTTATTGAATGGAGTAAATTATTTTAGTAGGAGTAATGAGAAACTGGAGAGGTGTACGAGGCAGCGGGCAGGAGGAGGAGGAGGAGGAGGAGGAGGAGGAGGAAAAGGCAACCAGAAATATATAGAGTGTGGCAGAGGAAAGGTGGGGAGGTTGAGAAAAGGTGACATAATGAAGAGCTGGGAGTGGTGAGGGGGCATAAGTGTGTCGGTGCGAGGGAGGAAGAGGAGTGCTGCAAAAACAGAAGAAAGGCCAAGAGAGAGAAAGAAAGAGGTTGAGAAGACAGATTGAGTTGGACAGACTGTGGAAGACTGTATAATGAGATATTCTGCTGGGTCCGCCTAGGTCTGTGCTGGCAGCGAGCTACATGTATCCTTGTCCAGTTTAAGTTCGAACCTCCTCTAGTTAAATTCTGCTTCCCCTGACTCTGGAGGACAAACTAACTGCGGGATTGGCATCTTAAAGATTATTCTGGAAGCCTCGGAATAACAGATTTAAATCCGTGCCGTGGCTGCCCCAAAACCTCTGCTTTTTCCACCTCTGGTGACTTTAGTCTGACACTAAAAAAGCCGCTCACAAAACTAGCAGAGGTTTTCTTTTTTTATTATTATTTAAAATGCATTGCAGTGTGCCCCTATGACAGGCTACATTTTCTTTAACGCTGACACATGACCCACAGGAAAGCTTGGTACAGTACAATTGATCTACTGCTCTCATGCTGGACTGAACTGTAGCTCTCGCCCCCCTTTGGCCTCCAGCCTCCCACCAAAGAGTCCAGTACCTGCCGTCATGATAGACAGCCGCACTGCAGGAGAAGTGCAATAAATGGCTTTTGATCTCGGTGAAAGACAGTAAAGTAAGTCCACCTCACTGAGTTTTATGGAATGTTTCTGACTTTACTTCATCTCTGTGGCAGCCGGGCGGCTGTGCATGCGTGAGTGTTTTACCTCGCTGATGGCGACGTAGTATCGAGGCTGCTGGAAACGCGGCGCGTTGTCGTTGCGGTCTCGAACAACAATGCGGACCTCGTGTAAAATCACGGTGCCTATCAGCTCGTTGGTGCACTGAACCTGGACCACGATGGACTGAATATACGATGGAGGCTGCAAAGGAGAAACAGAGGAATAGATGAAGACTGTTAAAATGATAATGGTACAGTTGTACAGAAGCAAATAAATAACTAACCATAAAAAGAAAACAACTGCTGCAGAAAGAAACTACCAAAAGACTCACTGTTTTGTGCCAAATTCAGACTTTCAAAAAGCAGCTACGGATTACTTTACAAAGCCAAACAGCAGGAGTGCTGGATGTTTCTCCGAGAAGATGGAGGTATAACTTTCTAGCGAGAGCAAATACTGGCAAGAGTAAGACAACCACGGAACTGTAATTCTCTGTAGTCGAGTAGAAAAAGAAAAATCTAAGACCAGAAACAACATCTCCTGAAAATATCCCATTAAATCGATGTACTCTTATTTTGAAAGGGACTGTGTAATTATTTCAAGTGCAAAATTGCAAAAAAAAAAAAGACACTCCTGTCGATGTCAAAAAAGGTTCTTTTGAGCATAAACAAGGCTAAAATAATCCAGTTGTCTTACATCTCTATCCAGAACCCGTCCGGTGCTGTTCAGGTAAAGGGCTTGTTTGGAAGGGTCGAGGATCACCCAGTAGTCATGGTTGTCCCTTAGAGACAGAGAGATGGTACGATTCGGGCCCTCAGCCACTCCATTTATCTGCATGTTCTGCACCAACAACGTTCCTGGAAGAAGATAGAAAAAAATAATAATAATAACCGAACAGACAGAGGGACCGGCACAGAGTTCCTGGAAGTAGAGTGTGATTCAATTAACTTCTGTGGCTAAATTGAAGCAGACAGAGAGACGGTTAAGTCCTACATCTTCATTTATTAATAAAAGTAAAGGAAACAGAGGCAATTCAAGCAGGGCCCTCCGTTCTTCTTCATGTTCTCAATTAATTATATACCTGGAATTTATACCCAGGTTATGGCCAAAGTCAAGGGCAATGACACAGAGAGAATAAAACGCACGTGGAAATCAGTAACATTTAATGAAGTCAAGGCAGAGCAGATACTGGAGTGACTGTTTGCTTTGTCTACACCAGTACCTGGAATACCTAAGCCCGACTGGAATGATTTTAAATAAATAAGTGAAGGAGAGAAACAGTCTGCCAGAAAACAACACATGTCCTAATGACTTTGATGCTTTCATCCGCATGGATTTAATAAAACACCCTCAGAATAAATGAAAAGCAAACATTTTAATAAGACAGATGGCGCAGATGGAATAAAACTTGATTCATTTAAGACAGTCAACTGTGGGCGGTGAAGCAATTTGGGAATGAGTGGAATATTTAAAGACAAGTCGTAGAAATAAAACTGAGGAAACAAGGCAGGATCTGAATGGCATCAGTGAGCTGTGTGGTTTTAGACATACTGTCCCTCAATCAGCACAAATCCAGGGAAAGGTACAGAAAAGGCAAAAGGCGCATGCTGATCCATCACAGAAACATCCTGACTTAATTGCTAATTTGACATTATTAGTGAAAACCAAACAGGCTGTTAACCTTGACAGAGTTTTCAAATAGTTTGCATTAGTAGTTGCACCATTAAAACTCCATCACAGGTCCTTAATGTGATTAAACGTACTGCAGGACTTTAGGTACAAGTTTAGGGTTAGTCTTAATGTGTTTTTATGTGGACTTTCTAAAGCTTTCAAGCTCATTTGCGCGAAAATATACAGCCATTACCCATCAAGGGTCATTTTTTAAGTTTGTTTGGCACCATTGTAACTGGATGGGAAGAAAAAATCTGTGGAAAAGCGAAAAGTTTAACTACTTGACTCTGTACAGCTCCAAATCACAAGAGACCCATTACCAGGCCCTACACAATGCATTATTAATCAAAAACACTATTGTGTCCCATCCTTGAGCACATTATTGCACATTGCTGGCTCTTGGTCTGCAGACACAGTTTTCTCTGTGTGTGTGTGTACATGTGTAGACTGAATAGATTAGTGAATAAAGGCCAAAGGACATCCATCCTTGAAAACGTTTAAACCTGCGACTCAGTGTGTGTGTGCAGAAGAGAGAAAGTAACAAGTTTGAAAACTTAGAAATGTGAGATAAAGACAGAGATCCAGACGGGGAGAAAAGTTGAGAGGCAGGCAGGATTGTGTTGGTTTGCTTGTGTGTGTGTG